CCCACGCGAGGAGAGCACTCCCAGGAGAGCTGTGCCCAGACAGGAATCTCACCTGAGAGCAGGGACAAGGGGGAAGCACGGTGGGACCGGGGTTGTCACTGTCACCACCCGGACAAGCTCCATGTGCAGCCCCCAGTGCTGACACCCCCTGCCATGCATTGGAGGTTCCACACATACATTCACATCTGTTCACACCATAAACAGTCCCAAAGCCTGGCTGCAAGACAAAGGCAATGGAACAAAATAAAGAGTATTTATTCTATTTCTCCCCTTTATCCTGAGCAGAGCAATCAATAATTTTATACATTAAATAAATGTTTATTTTAAATGGAATTTCCCTTCTCCATCTAATAGGCCAATGTGCACCTTCCACTACTCAGATCGTCTTGGACACTGCTGAAATCACCTGGCTCCTACAGCTGGGTGACAATTACAGCCCAATCACAAATGGGTTTGTGTGCCCTATTTGCATTAAAACACCACAAATTAGGCACTGGGTACTGGCTATGCTCCAATGGACACGAGAGCATCCGCATTCCTACAGAGTTACAGTGCTTCCTCCACAGCCCGGATTTATATCCACATCCAAACTAAATAAATCATCAACCACTGCCCCTAAACCAGCTCACTTATCACACCAAGTGTGAATAATGAAATGTCATAATATTTGCCCAAGACACGTGGTTTGTTTGCTTTCAATAAATACAGTCTAGAAGGGGAAAAAAAAAAGGAAAATAAAAAAGTAGAGGCAATGTTTCCTCTTGGTCACTGCTGGGAGTGGGAATGGCCCCTGGGCTAGTGGGGCCAGAGCAGGAAGGTGCCAGCAGAGCCCCCCCTGTGCTCAGCATCCCCAGGGACAGCTCCAGGGGCACGGCTCTGGGACAGCCTGGCAGCCCTGCAGGGACTGCTCTGCAGCAGCAGCCACTGCCCCTGACAGCCCAGGGAGCAGGACACGGCCAGGGGGATTTGGGGCAGCCTGCAGGGCACTGCCAGGGGGGGTTTGGGGCAGCCTGCTGGGGCTGTTCTGTACCTGAGCAGGTTTTCCAGGCACACATCAGCACACACGCTGCTCCGTGAAACGTTCCCGGGGTGGAGAGGGAGAAGGCAGCTCCCTTCATGCTCCTATCTGTATTTGCTCTCCAGCAGCTGGCAGCAGGCTAAGCTGGGATTTTAGGGGCTCACAAACTTGTCAGCTTTTGCCTTTGGCTCCAAGTGCCCCCCTGGTGAGATGGGGGCTAATGCTGCCCCCAGGGACCCCCAGCCCGGCCAGCAGTGGCACAGACACAGCCTGGCCGTCTGCCTTAGCTCCACGATTGCTGCTTTGGAAAGGGAAGATGGGCAGCAGCCACTCGGGAGCCTGAGCCCAGCCCAGGGCTCAGCTTTAGACAGGCACTGCCAGAGAGAAGAGAGAGAACCACAATGGGTCAGAGAGAGCAGGATGGGGCAGAGCAGCTGAAACCTCCACGTGCAAAGCTCCCAGTGCCAGAAATAAGATCCCTGTGCTGTGCTGGGTTATTATGAGACTCATCCTGCTCCAGGGCTCAAAGGGATTTTATTTGCAGGCATGAGGAGCCTCCTGGCTGTGCCAAGGAATGCCAAACCCCTCTGTGCATCCCAGCCATGGGCAGCACCCACGGGTGCTCATCACTCCCAGAGCACACACAGACACGCTCATCCCTTCTTACCTCCAAGCTGGGCTACAAAGCCCTGTTTGTGCTCGTTTTCTGGTCACTGGGACACTTTTACCCCACGGCATTCCCTGAGCCATGGCTGGGTTCTGGGCTCCTGCCTGCTGGCACTGGCGTTGCACTGCTGCCTGCTCTGGATTCCACTGAAAACAAAAACCACCAGGACAGCCAAAGGCAGGTCCCAAACAGGGACCCCTGTCCTAACCAGCAGCACAACTGGTTAACTCTGATTATCTCAAAATACCCCACTGGTTATGTCACCAGTGATAAATCAAGGCAAGACTGTCTCTTGATAAGGAAAAGCCAAGCGAGGCTATTTTAAAATGAAAATCCACAGGAATCCAGTGCCAGTGTGAGAGAGAAGAGCTGAGATTAGGAGGTGACATAAACACAAGCTGAAAGACATCACTCCAGAACCATCCTGTGCCTTCAGCAGAGGAGCAGCAGCATCCCATGAGTTCTCCAGGATCCCCAGCTCCTCTCCCAGCACTTAAACAGAGACCAGGATGTGGAGATTGGTGCTCGTGTGGCACAGGGGCATGAATCTGATATTCATAGACTTTCTTTTAAAGGGCAAGACTCCTTGTATAGAAACAAACTAGGACAACAACTCGAATGATAAATTACCCTTCTGCTGTACTTCCTCTGTGAAATTTAATTTTAATTGATATTAAACATGACAGAGCTTCTGCTCAAACTGGCATTTGCCAGCCCCCATTTCCGCTGCCTCTGCAGAGCTGAGGCCAGCACATCCCTGCCCTCAGCATCCTCAGTCCTGGGGGGCTGGGGACCACCTAAACACAGGAGCCCCGTGGCCCTCCAGGGCCAGGACAATGCCCAAGGCAAGATTTCACCCAAGGGCTCTGCACAAAAGCTGCAGCAAGGCTGGATTCCCCAGCCATGCTAACAGAGAGGGGAGCCACACTCCCAATTTCTCCTCCTTCACTGCACTTCTGGTCTGTTCGTTTTCACAGGAGCTTTGATCTCTGTGAGCTTTATTTCTGCTTTATTCTTCTCTGTTCGAGAGGAATAAACAACCTGCTGCAAAGCAAAATAGATTTATCTGACCTCTAGAAGGCTTCCAGGTGCTCAGGTCCTGTCCCCTGGAGCAGTGCTCCCCCTGAGAGCACGACAGGGCTGCTCAGGGTGGGGAGCAGTGTCTGTCCCTGCAGAGGGAAATGTGGCACCGGGGTTCTTTACAAATGTTCTCACAATGGAAGGCTTGGATTTCAGTGAAAAAAAAAAAACAAACTTCCACGGCATCCATTGGGGCAGGGATGGGCCAGAGCAGCCCGAGCAGTGTCCCCTGCCCTGCCTGCACTGCGTGTGTGACTCTCCACTTCACACAGTGTCCCACTCACTGAAAGTACTCGGAAATGCATTTATTTATAGCACCTACAGTGCAACCCAATACCCGCTGCCTCTGCTGGTGCTGGGGACATTCCCTACCTGCCCGTGGGTGCACATTCTCCTCCTCCCACCCGGGACACCAGAGCCACCCTCCCGGTGGGGCCAGCAGCCAGGGAGTGACTCATGTCACCAGAAATGTCCCTCGGAGCAGGGCGAGTGTCCCTGCAGCACAAACCCTGGGGCTGGGGGCACCTGGGGACCCCCAACCCTGGCAGGGCAGGGCACCAGAGCCCAGGCAAAGCTTCCAGGGGGGATTGGCCAGGGAAATGAGTGCAGAAATGCCTGAGGTCACAGTCCCCTGCAATGGAGCAGCTGTGCCTCCTAAATCTGGGGCTGGCTCCTGACCAGCCCTGCTCTGCCCACAGCAGCTCTGTCCTCACTCACACCCAGCCTTTCCTCAGCCCCCAGACAGCGACAGCAGCTGGCTCTGCTCAAACAGCCTGCACAGCTTGTGCTGGAGAGCGCTGGGCAGCAGTGACAGAGCTCTGACAGAGCTCCCGGCCACCCCCAGGCAGCTCTGGCTGCCACCCCAAAAACCCCCCGGAGCACGGAGGTTTGACCTCCAGCACCAGGCTGGGCTGAGTTTGGGACCTCCCAGCTCCCGTGGAGCAGCAGAGGCAGATGCAGGGATGTGGAACTGGTTCCAGCAAAGGTTTCCCAGTGGCCTTTTGCCCAGAACTGGCGCTGGCGGGCACTGCTCTCCAGACTCAGAGTTTGTCCCTCTGCAAGGTGAGGTGTCTCTGCAGGATGCTGTGGGTTCAGGCTCTTTCCCAGCCCAGCTCTGCCCTTTCTCTCCCCACATTGGCAGCCCAGCCGCGCTCTGAGCTGCATTCAGCTCAGCTCAGCCACGAATGTCACAGCCCAGGGCAGGGCTGGCAGCTCCGGGCACGGAGCCGAGAGCTTTGGTTCCAGCAGCCGTGCCAGGCAGAGGAGCCTTCTGCCATAAAACACCTGCCCTGCACTGGCACTGCCACACTGGGCACCGGTGTGGGCACCTGAGCCTGCCGAGGGAGCTGCCAGCCCTCGAGGGGACACCCGGACACCCACCCACCCATCCATCGAGGGGACACCCATCCCTCCCTTTCCACCCATCCTTAGGGACTAAAACACACCCCCCACCCCGAATCTGTGAAGTGCTTTTTTCACAAAAGCTTTACTTTTAAACAAAACTCCAGATCATGAAAGGCAAGAGCTCACAGGAGACACTGCAAAGGAGGATTAGCCAAGTCCAGGTTCAATAAGTCTTCATTAATATACTAATTATGCCTGGAGGAATATTCTGACCACTGTGGTTCTGTGGGTTGGTTTTGGATTTCCTCGAGTTTCTGTGGATGAAAAGCTGGAGCTGAGGACTCCAGGCTGGCACCACAATCCTCGTCCTGGGCTCTGAGCAGACCCAGGGGAGCTCTGGCTATCCCAGCACAGTGTGGCTCCTCTGGGTGATTTCTGCAGATGTGATTCCTGCCTCCCCGAGCTGCTTCATTTACAGACTCATAAACAACAATTTCTTTCAGGCTTTTGAGGATTTTGCCCCAATTTGGGCATTGTTTCTCCCACACAAGGGTAAAATCCCACTGGCACAGCTGGGCTGGGGGCTGCACCCAGCCCTGGCCCAAAGGCCACCAGCCACCCACACACATGCCATCCCCCTGAGTTGACAGCACAGGGGCTGGCCCCAGAAAAGCCCCTTTAAGGGACACTTCAGGGCGGCCTCGGGAGCCAGGACATTAATTTTAGCCTGGAGCAGTGCCAGGGGCGCAGGGCAGCTGCTGCAGGCGGGGCCAGCGCTGTCCCCTGCCTGTCCCAGCCCAATCCCCTGGGTGTCCCAGCACAGCCCCAGTCCCCTGCCTGTCCCAGCCCAATCCCCAGCGCTGTCCCCGCGCTGTCCCCGTCCCCAGCAGCATGGCAGAGGAACGGAGCGAGCTGGACGAGCGGATCATCATCAAGGACCAGCACACCAAGGAGATCGACCTGGTCAACAGAGACCCCAAGCACATCAACGAGGACGTGGTGAAGGTAGGGCTGTCCCACGCTGTGCTGTGGGGGCACCACTGGCACCAGGGGTTGGGTTTCAGCCCTTGCTGTGAGTTTGGCTCGAGCCAGCCAGGGCTGTTGGTCCTTGTCCATGTGCCCCAGAGGTGCCACCCCTGGGCTGGGAGGTGACAGCCCTGCTGGCTGGCATGCCTGGCCCCCGTTAATGCCATATTTCCCGTTCCTTCAATGGGCTCTCCACTTTCATTGTGGCTCGAAAATTTATGGGGACACCTTCCTTTGTACCAGCGAGCTGGCAGCCAAAAAAACCAAAGAAATTCAACAGAACCAGTTTAAAGGGATATTGGAAAAGGCTGCTGGCCTTCAAGACCTTCAGTCTCAGTTCTGGATTGTTTGATGTGTGTTATCCTGTTTGTGGAAGATTGCTCCCCCCAGGGCAGCCCCCTGAGTGCTGCAGCCCCCAGCTCCCTCCCTCTGTTTCTGACCAAAGAAATTCCTTGGAATTCCCATTCTAACTCCTGGGCTTCCTCTGGACTCCCTTAGAGCTGCAAACAAAGTGTGTCTGTGTTAGCCAAAGATAATTCCAGCCCAAAGGAGAACAGGAGGAGTGGAAGGGTTTTGTTAAAAGTGTGTTTGTGTCTGTCACAGCAGAAGGGACAGGGGCACAGAGCTGCTCACACAGGATTTGTCACAGGCTGTGACCTTGGCAGCACTGCTGAAACACAAACCTGAATTTGGGCATTAAACACCACTACAGCTACAACCACGGAGTGGCCAAATTCAATTCCCTTGGCTGAGCTGTGACAGTGACAGCCACACTGGTTTCTTGCTGGCACTGAGACCTGCCCCTGACCTCAGCACCGTGTCCAGCATCCCTGCCAGGGCATCCCACAGCCCTGGGCACGGAGAGGTGCCAGGCCAGGGGAGCAGGCACCAGCAGAGCCCTCAGCCCAGGGCCAGCAGAGCTTTGGGGCTCCTGGGTGACAATGGCAGCACCGTCCTGGCATCCACAGCCTCCCCCAGCACATCCCTGCCCTCTCCCACTCCAGAATCTCCAAGCCCATCCATCCTGCTCCACCAGCACTGGGAGCCTCCAGAGCTCAGCATTCCTCCACCCCAAAATAGCCCAGGCGATAGGGCTGGGGAGGAGGAGCCCAGCTCACCCTGCTGCTGCTGCCCCCCTGGGCCCAGGGCCACAGCCAAGCAGCCAGCACATGCAGCAGGAGAGCTCTGGCAGCACAGAGCCAGCCAGCAGGGAGCTGAAGGGCTCACCTGGCCCTGGATAAACATCCCAAAGCAGCAGCCAGAATTTGGGATGGTGTTCCAGAAGTGGCACTGGCCTCAGAGGCTCTGCAGAGCTTCACAGCCCTCCTCAGGCCCAGAGCAGTGCATGGCTGCACCAGGTGCCCTGAGGAGAGCTCTCCCAGCCCCATGGTTCTATAAAGGAACATATAAGGGATCAGTACCTGCATGTGCTGGACCCCGAGCCTCCACTGCTCCTCCAGATGCTCCCAGTGTGAGCCCAGCAGAGCCTCTGCTTTTATATCCCACTGCTCCCTGCATTAATTGATCCCTGCTGAGCTCATCAGGAGCTGGGCACTCACCTGGGCTGGTCCCCAGCACACCTGGGCTTCCCAGGGGCTGCTGCTGGCACCTCAGGGCCAGCTCTCAGAGCTGCTGTCTCCTCATTGCCAATGCTTCTCTCAGCACCTCCTGCTCCCTTCAGGAAATTAAAGATGACACAGAGTGATTTTTGTGATCCAAGTGCTTCCAAAAGCAGAATGAATATTGTTATTTAACGTGAATGTACAGACACGTCAGCTGTTGGAGGGGAGGCCAGGCTGCTTTTCAAGACAAATAGCTCAGAGTACAGATTCCCTGGAAGGGAGTTACACCCCAAGGGGATCTCTGCGGGAGCTCTGGGGAGGCTGTGTCACTCAGAGTCACCCCCGGTGCCTGCACGAACGGCAGGGGCAGGGCTGAGCCCCAGCTCCCTTCCCCAGAAGGAACACAGACCGACAGCACTGAGCACCTCATCCCACGGGTATAAATAAATATTCCATAAATCCAGAGGGCTGCTGCATCTTTATTAGCACAAACACCTTCCTGCTGAGCAGGCAGCCACGTCCCTGAATGCTAAAAAAGGGCAGGAATGGGCTCTGGCCACCTCTGCAGCCAACACTGCCACACACAGCTCCTGTTCCAGGGGCTCCTGCCTGGCCACACCTGATCCCCCAGACCCGCGGTGGGACAGGGACTGGGATCCCCTGCTGGAGTCCCAGCCGTGGGCTGAGCCCCCACTCTGCTGCCCACAGGCTGTGGCTGGGCAGTGCTGGGAGCCCTGAGCCATCTCCCATCCCTGCAGGGCTTTGTAGGGATGTAGGTTTGCAGGGTGCAGGGATTGGGGCATCCACCCCCAGCACAGTCCCCTCTCCATTTGGGATCTGCTCTCACCTCCTGCAGACCCTCATCCTTGCTGACCCCCAAACCTCCCTTGTGTCCTCTGCTCTCCTCCCAGGTGGATTTTGAGGATGTGATAGCTGAGCCCGTGGGCACATACAGCTTCGATGGTGTCTGGAAAACCAGCTACACCACCTTCACAGTCAGCAAGTACTGGTGCTACCGGCTGCTCTCTGCTGTCCTGGGCATCCCCCTGGCCGTCGTCTGGGGCTTCCTCTTTGCCCTCATCTCCTTCTGCCACATCTGGGCAGTGGTGCCCTGCATCAAGAGTTACCTGATCGAGATCCAGTGTGTCAGCAGGATCTACTCGCTCTGCATCCACACCTTCTGTGACCCGCTCTTCGAGGCGCTCTCCAAGATCTGCAGCAACATCCGAGTTGCTGTCCGGAAGGAGATTTAGGTCCTGGCAGCTGCCCCAACAGCCCCCTCTGTGCAGGCTGCCTGCCCTTGGGCAATGGACACCCCTGCTCTGTGAGGGAGCTGCTCATGGACAGCCCTGCTCAGTGAGGAGACCCCTGCCCATGGACACCCCTGTCCAGTGAGGGATCTGTACATGGACACCCCTGTGCCATGGACACCCCTGTCCAGTGAGGACACCCCTGTCCAGTGAGGACACCCCTGTCCAGTGAGGGATCTGTACATGGACACCCCTGTCCATGGACACCCCTGTCCAGTGAGGGATCTGTACATGGACACCCCTGCCCATGGACACCCCTGTCCAGTGAGGACACCCCTGTCCAGTGGGATACCTGCTCATGGACACCCCTGTCCAGTGGGATACCTGCTCATGGACCTCAGCACCTCGGGGTCACCCTGATGGATTAAGGGAGGGCAGAGGAAGGAGCCTCTGGCAGGACCCTGCTGCTCCAGCTCCAGGGAAAGAGGAACGAGGGGCAAGAGGTGCAGTTTGGAGCTGTTTCCTCCTCTGTACTGTCAATTAATGTCAATTAATTTGTCGGTCCCTCTTCCACGGAGCTGCACTTTCACTCCGAGGCCCTTGAATGCTCCTTTGGCTCCAGCCTTAAGTGCTTTGCTGAAGCAGGGCCCAGGAGGTCTCACTGCTCTCAATTGTCTCCGTGTGCTCCTTCCCTTGGCTCCAACAAAGACTGGGAGCCCAAGACTCCTCTAGTGCCGTGCCAAGGATGAGAGGGAGCCAGGTTTTTACTGGAGCTCTTCCAAAGGCTTGGGATTGTATCCTGCTGTTATTCCATAGCAATGTGGTACCCAAGCTCCAGCAACATTGGGGCCCAAGAAGAATGGAATGATTAAAAAAAGAAAAAGGTATTTAGGTAATTATAGAGTGGGCGGTGGACCTTAAGAAGCTTTCCCAACCTAAATGGTTCCACGGTTCTATAAAGGAACAGTACCTGCATGTGCTGGTCTCAAAAAACCATTTCATTTTTTGTGGGAAAAAAAATAATTAAAATCAATTGTATAATGGGTTTATATTACTAATATTTTACTGTTGTTGTTCTAGTAGTTCACTGCCTGAACCCAAAAAACCCTGAAATGCTGATGTCCCCACCACACTGCTTCCTGGGCTCCCACCACTTGGGGCACACACTGCTCACCTGTCAGCACCTCTGTTCCACTTTAGACCCTCCTGAAAAGCCTTTTGGATTTTGTGTCCATTCACCGGGACACTCCCAGCTGCTCTCGCTGTCCCTGCTCTGCTCAGCCTGGGCACGGTGCAGGGGCTCAGCCACGGCACCACTCGGCTGCAGCTCCAGGCGTGGGGCACGGCCCTGCCTCAGCCCCAGAAACCGCAGCCAGCGCTGGAGGGAAATTCCCTGTGTGTCCCAAACTCCTTCTCCTCTCCCTGCATCCATCCCGGTAACACCCACTGCCCTGTTCTCGTTCCCCTGGCAGGGGCAGGATGCACCTCAGAAAAGGAGACTCCTCCTTCCTTGCTTTGTGCAGGAGTTTGTGACTCTCAAGGAGAAGAAAGGTGAACGTGGGAGGAAAATGCTCCATGGTGTCCTGAGGATTTCAAGCAGTCAGCAAATGTGCTGAGAGCTCATTTGGAGCTCCCACAAAAATATCAAAGGAATGTCAGGACAGGAAAGGTACAAATGGACCTGCTGGTGACAGTGAAGAAATAAAGGACACATTTAAATGCATTTTTCATGTTCATTCCTTTCACGAAATGCCAAATTCCATCACCCTTTGAGAGGCGCAGCTTTTGTCCCCCTGCACTGCCCGTGCCCTGCCAGATGTGCACCGCTGGATGCCGGGGCTGGGGCAGCGCTGCCCGGGCACGGGGGAGCAGGAGGAGAGCAGGGAACAGGGACAGGGAGCAGGGAGCAGGGGACAGGGAACAGGGAACAGGGAATAGGGAACAGGGAACAGGGAACAGGGAACAGGGACAGGGACAGGGAACAGGGAACAGGGAACAGGGAACAGGGAACAGGGAACAGGGACAGGGACAGGGAACAGGAACAGGGACAGGGAACAGGGAACAGGGAACAGGGAGCAGGGAACAGGGAACAGGGAACAGAGAGCAGGGGACAGGGGACAGGGAACAGGGAACAGAGAGCAGGGAACAGGGACAGGGAACAGGGACAGGGAACAGGGAGCAGGAACAGGGAACAGGGAATAGGAAGAGGAACAGGGAGCAGGGAACAGGGAATGGGAACAGGGAACAGGGACAGGGAACAGGGAGCAGGGAACGGGGAGCAGGGAGGAGAGCAGGGAGCCGGGAGGAGCAGGGAGCAGGGAACAGGGAACAGGAAGGAGAGCAGGGAGCCGGGAGGAGCAGGGAGCAGGGAACAGAGAGCACAGCTGGCTGGGGATTTTGGTGTTCCAGCCTTGCTTCCCATCGATCCCTTCATTCCCTCAGCACAGCGCTCCTCCCACGCCTCCCTCCCGCCTTCCACCAGACACAGTCAGCAAAGTTTATTTACAGTATTTGTTAACAATAAAAACCCATGCCGTGAGCATGCCCTGTGCGCTATAGAGCAAGCGGATGGCGCTGGGGCCATGGGAGACTCCGTGGATTGCGGCGAGCCCAGAGCCAAGCCTGGGATCGGGGACACGAGCGAGTGTCCCTGAGAGAGCCCGGGGACCCAGCCCGGACCCCGCACAGCGCCCTGGGCTCAGCTCAGCACCCTCGGCCAGGAGCCACTGCCCAGATCCCCGGGCCCAGCCGTGCCCCAGGCCCCTGGCGACCGCCTGCACGGCCTCGGGGGGCACGGGGTGCGGGGCTGGCACGGTGCGGGGCTGGCACGGTGCAGGGCTGGAACGGTGCAGGGCTGGCACGGTGCAGGGCTGGAAAGGTGCGGGGCTGGAACGGTGCAGGGCTGGAACGGTGCGGGGCTGGAACGGTGCGGGGCTGCAGGGCTGGCACGGTGCAGAGCCGGGCTGCAGGTTTGGCATGGTGCAGGGCTGGCACGGTGCAGGGCTGCAGGGCTGCAGGACGGGGCTGCCTCTGCCCCGCAGGCTACAAGCGAAGGGAGTGCTCCTGTGCAGGATCCTGCTGCAGGTGGAGCTGGGACAGTGCCAGCCGTGTACCCGGGGTGACACCCGTGTCCCTGTGCCGCAGCAGCCCCTGCCATCCGGGGGATGCATCGCCCCTGCCCCAGCAGCACCGGAGCCTTTGTCCCTGCTGGTGGCATCCATGAACCACTGCTGTCAGGGTTTGGGGCTCAGGAGCGGGTTCCTGCTGTCTAATCCCAGGCAGCACTGACCCTTGGACACAGAATTCCTCTCGCACTCCCATCTCAGTTCAATAACGCCCTGTGCACATGCTTACAGCCATATATATATAAATATATATATATATACACCTATTTATAAACCCCGCCTTGTCCGGGTGCAGCTTTCCGCAGGGAAGCGCTGCAGCAGCGCAGCAGAGACACGCGGGCCCGCTGCCACGGCCTCACGTCGTGGGCGGCTGCACGAAGCTCCTCTGGCTCGGGCTCCTGCAGCTGAGCACGAAGGACGAGGAGTTGCTTTTCTTGCTCAGGTCACAGCCCGGTCGCGACTTCAGGTAGCGCGTGGAGCAGCAGAGGAAGCGGCGCATCAGGTCATGGAAGAGGTGCCCGGTGTAGAGCATGTAGATCCAGGGGTTGCAGCAGCTGTTGAGGCTGGCCAGGAGCATGGCGATGATGAAGGGGGAGGCTGCGACACAGGCACGGCCTTGTCAGGGCACGGTGGCCGCTGCCGAGAGCCGCAGCTGTGCCGGCTCCCCGACATCCCGGTACCCTGACACCCCGGCATCCCAGTACCCCGACATCCCAGTACCCCGGTACCCTGACACCCAACACCCCGACACACTGACACCCGACACACTGACACCCTGACACCCCAACATCCCGGTACCCTGACACCCCGATATCCCGGTACCCCGGTACCCTGACACCCAACACCCCGACACACTGACACCCGACACACTGACACCCTGACACCCCAACATCCCGACATCCCAGTACCCCGGTACCCTGATACCCAACACCCCGACACACTGACACTCGACACACTGACACCCTGACACCCCAACATCCCGACATGCCAGTACCCGACATCCCAGTACCCCGACATGCCAGTACCCCGGTACCCCGACACCCTGACACAGGGATGAGCCGCCCCCCGCAGGAACGCGGCGGGAAATGAGAGCTGGGAAATGAGGGGCCCGAGTCTCAGCTCCATCCCTGGGTTTCGGGTTTCTCCCCCAGGAGCCGCCTTTCCCTGGAGTGGGGGCTCAGGGGGCAGAGCTCCTGCAGCGCCGCCCTTTAAGGTGCCCGAAGCAGAGCCCTGGGAGTTGCCGTGGCTAAGAGCAGTCCGGGGGGCAGCAGAGCTGGGGGCTCGTTCTCCCACCCCAGCGGCTGATTCGGGCCAGGCTGTCACCTTCGAGCCCCCCGGGCTGTGGGACAGCCGCGGTCCCCAGGCTGCGGGGCGTCCCCTTCTCCTGGGCTGTCCCCACCGCAGCCCGGCCCCATCTGAGCCCTTTGCCCGGTGCTCGCCCAGCACCTTTCTCCACTCGTCTTTCTTTCCCCCGAATTAATTTCCCCCCACAGTGCTGTGCCGGGAAGGAGGACACACAGCCATTCCCACATCCCGGCTGGGTCCGGAGCCTGGCAGCCCCCGCTGGTGGTGGCAGCGCAGTGCCAGGACATCCAGTCTCTGGCTGCTGCTTCTGTCCCCAGAGCACAAAGTCCCGACTGTGCCACCTGAGGGGTCGGACCAGACAAGGGGAAGGTGGGGCTGGCACCTGCCACGGCACCAGGACAAAGGGGACATCTCCCTCTGAAGTGGCTGCAGGGGGAGCTGGAGCCTTTATCCTGCTCCCCGTGCTCCAGTCTCCTCAGTCCCTCAGCTCCCAGAGGACGTGCCAGCAGCCAGGATGAACGTGGTTGGTTTGGCTGCTCCTGGTCCCTTCGTGTCTCTGCAAAAATCCACTGGCAGTTCTTAGACCAGTGAAGAAATGTGACTATAAATGCTGGCTTCCAAATTCACCTTTAGCCAACGGATGCGTAATTCCTGCTCTTGTGATGTCTGCTCCAACTACTTTTAATTTCAAGCATGTGCTAAAAACTAATTCCGTGCGGAGCGGTTACAAATCCCAGGCACAAGCCCTGAAATACATCACAGCGTTTCTACCGCCTGAAAACACCCGGCCGGGGCTGACTCAGCTCTTCCCTCTCCGCAGGAGGCAAATTGAATTTCGGGGACTGAGTGCAGGGCAGGTCCGGAGAGAGGATCGCTCCCTCCCTGCTGGAACAGCAGAGACCCCGAGGGTGCTGCAGGCAGCCAGCCCTGCCCAGGATGGCCCTGGGCCAGGCACCCCCTGCTCCTGGGGATGCCCGGGGCGGTGGGCAGAGCTGCAGGCTGTGCCCGAGCAGGATGTGGGGTCTCTGTGAAACACCCAGCACAGGAGTGGGTTGGGATGGGATGAGATAATGGGATGGGATAATGGGACAATGGGATGAGGGGTTCCCCAGTTCCCACACACTCTGACTGGGGCCATCACTCACAGCCCAGGTGTCAGGGCACCTGCCCCGAGGTGGAGGCACCCATAGAACATTCATGGTGCTTCACAGCCCTGCTCTTGTCCTCACAGGTCTGATCCCAGCTCGGAATCGTGCTCCCTGTGCAGTGTGTGCAGCAGGAGCCTGCTTCCAACCCCTGAGGCTGTGGAGGGTCCCCAGTGCATAAACACAGGATCACAGTGTGGAGCTCCAAGCCCCCTTACAGAGGCTTTGGGGTGTGTGGCCACCTAAGGGGGATCTCTGCTGCCTGGCCAGTCACCCCCAGAGCAGCTCATTGGGTGGCACCCAGGGCCCCCCTGCCCTTTCTGTGGCTGTGCCCACACAGCTGAGGTGAGGAACGGGCACATTCCCTTCCCAGCACGGGGTACCCCTCTCCTGCACCCCACCATGAGCCTGGCCCAGTGAAGGGATCCGGGATCAGGGCAAGGCTCCGTGTCCTCTGCAGAGAGTTCTGACTGCACCGGGCAAGGAGGAGGAGGAGGAGAGCATGGGAGGAAGGGCTGGGGTCTTCCAACACCTGTATCCATCCCAGGCTTTTCCTGCCCGTGCCATGGAAGCCTCCAGCCAGAGCCCTGGCACAGCTCCCACCCTGTGCCACAGCCACGGCTGCCCAGAGACAGGAACGGGATGGAAACGGGAGTGGGGAGGGTGGTACAGCTCTGTGGGGCTGGAAATCCCTCCAGCCCTTAAAGCAAAGAGGGAAAGAAAAGGGAAAAGGGAAAGAAAGGGAAAAGGGAAAGAAAAGAAAAGGGAAAGAAAAGAAAAGGGAAAGAAAGGAGAAGGGAAAAGTGCTGCAAGGCCACTGCACAGGGTGAGAAAGGAAAAGGTTCCCCGTGCAGCCAGAAGGATTGGGATGGACAAATCCTGTCCATGGAGGGTCAGCAAAGCAGCAGAGATTTGGGTGCTGCCGAGGGCTGTGTGCTGAGAATGGAGGGGCAGCCCTCAAGATTGCAGGATTAAAATACAGCACGAGAGAGGGCCCCTGCTTCACCCCAGAGCCCATCCAGGAACTGGAAGTTTAGACCAGCCTGAAACAGGTGGAAAACCCCTGGAGCACCCAGGGAGGTGCAAAAGCCACATTCCACTTCTCCTGAAATAAATGGAGCAGAGAGAAGCAGGAGAGGCAAAGCCTGCCTGGCTGCTGCCTGGCCAGCCCAGGGAACAGAGGCACCCTGTGGGTTTTGCACAGGGAGCTGTGCAGCTGGGGCAGGGCTTGGGAAGGGCTGAGCAGCCGTGCCCTGAGTCCTGTGCCCTGTGCCCTGTGCCCCGTGCCCTGTGCCCTGTGCCCCGTGCCCTGTGCCCTGTGGCCAGCACTGCCCAGCCCTGGCCATGGCAGGGCTGCAGGGCCAGCAGGGAGCAGCTCCTCCTCAGCCTTTGGCACCCTCAGAGCCGGCGCCTGGGTCGGTCTGTGCAAGGCACTCTCATCCCTGGCTCCACTTTTCTGCCCTTTCTTTCTCCCACCTCACAAAGTCGGGAAGAGTTTTTGTTTAAGCTGTCCCAGGTGGTTCTCCCATCTGCCAGGGGTCAGCACAGACCTGCACAGCTCCAGCCCTGTCACACCAGGGACGGTGACACTTTTTGCTCTCTCTGCAACCTCAGTGGTGACAGGAGCAGCCAGCTCAAATATAAAACATGGCAAATCCGTGACACCACTGATTAAGTGACACCATCTTTAGTAAAACGTTTTTCTCATAAATCAGAGTTTTTCTACGGGAACAGTGCTCCAGTCAGAGATAAAATAACAACAGCTTAGTCTGGGGTGGATGGGGCGGGAGGAGAGGGAGAAGTAGAAAAGCAGAAAGTCGGTGAAGAAAAAAGGACACAACAAAGGAAAGGAGGAAAGGAAGTCAGGCTGTGCAGCTTTTCCTGAGCTCCCACACTGCCCACAGCATGTCCCAGCACCCAGGCTGGGAAGTGAATCTCCAGGGACCCCAGAGCAGCACCCAGGGACAGCCACACGCAGGGACAGGCACACCCAGGGACAGCCACCACCGTCTGCACTGCCCGAGCCCTGAGCTGCAGTGGCCTGGAATTGCCAGAGCTGCGGGAGCCCCTGACCCGGGACAGCTCAGCCGCTGCTCCTGCCAGGGGTTTCTCTGTGCTCAGGACTCTGTCCCATGTCCCTCCCGCTCACCCAAACCCAGCCCGAGCAGTTTCTGCCCTGGGTTTCTGTCCCCAGGGCTCTGCAGGAGGGAGGGGAGCTGTACCTTCCTGCGGGGCGTTGCTGTCCCACACTGACCACATCTGCACGAAGAAGAAGGGAGTCCAGCACACGATGAACGCCAGCACGATGATAAAGGTCATTTTGACTGTCCGGATCTTGGCTTTGGAGATGAGCCTGGTGCTGCTGACCCTGGCAAACACCATCCCACCTCGGGAGCCTGAGCCCAGAGCCACGCTGGGCCCGTGGGCCGTCTTCAGCTTCACGTTCTGCCAGATTTTGAAGCTGATTAAGCCATAGCAGATGCTCAGCATCAACACAGGGATGATATAGACCATGAGGGTGATCCAGGTAACGTAGGCTTTCGGCCCCCAGGGCTGGATGAAATCTGCCCAGCAGTCATAAACCCCATTCCCCACATCCCTTAGAGAAAATATGTGGATCTGAGGGATGCTGACGAGCAGGCACAGCAGCCAGGTGAGGAGGACAGAGACCCGGTCCGCTCTCCTGTGCAGGGACCTCAGTGGCTGACAGATGGCCAAGCAGCGGTCCAGGGACATCAGCAGCAGCATGTAGGTGGAGGCGAACATTCCCACCACCTGCAGGTACTTGATCAAGCGGCAGAGGAAATCTGGCCCGTAGAACCTGAAGGTGATGTCCCAGATGAGCTGGGGCAGCACCTGGAAGATGGCCACGACCAGGTCAGCGATGCTCAGGTGCTTCATGAAGAAGTACATGCGGGAGTGCTTGTGGCGGGTGGTGTGGATGGCCAGCAGCACGCACAGGTTGCCGGTCAGGGCGAGGAACAGGATGAGGCACAGGACTGTCACCTCCACCTTGGCCATGTCCTCGTTCCTCTTCAGGGGGTCGGCGCTGCTGTTCCTGCCTGCGCTCAGGTTCTCCGGCCGGAGGCTGCCGTTCCCCAGGGAGCTGTTGATGGTCCAGGTGCTGCTCCCCGCCAGGTACAGCTTCTCCATGGCCAGCGCCGGCCCGCATCGAGCCTGGGGCAGGGTGAGGGCAGAGAGGGGCAGGGTGAGGGCAGAGAGGGGCAGAGAGGGGCAGAGCCTGCACCGATGCGCTCCTGTGCGGAAGCCGGGTGTCCCCGCCGCTCTCTCTCCGTGTCTCCTCGGTTCTCAATATTCCACCGCTCTCCGTGTCCCCCCCGCTCTGTGTCCCCGCCGGTTCCTGTCGCCGTGTCCCGGCTGCCGGCTGCTCCTGTCCCCTGGCCGGTCTCTCGGTGTCTCCGCCGGCTCTGCCCCGCTCCCAGCCCCAGCGCAGGGGCCGGCCGAGCGGCGGGGGCGGCGGGCAGAGGCGGCTCCCGGCCCGGCCCCTCGGGGCCCGCCCGCGGCCGCTGGCCCCGCACCCGGACCCGCCTCAGCATCTTCAGCATCGTCAGCATCTTCAACATCTTCAGCATCTTCAACATCGTCAGCATCGTCAGCATTGTCAGCATCTTCCCCCGCGCCCTCCCCGCAGCGCGCCCGTTCCCGCACCCACCGGCGGCCGCGGCTCCCGCAGCCCCGCTCCGCCCGGACAGCCCCGGCTCTCCCAGCCCCGGTTCCCCCAGCCCCGCTCCGCCCGGACAGTCCCGGCTCTCCCAGCCCCGGCTCTCCCAGCCCTGGTTCTCCCAGCCCCGGCTCTCCCAGCCCCGGTTCCCCGTGCCCCGGTTCCTCCAGCCCCGCTCCGCCCGGACAGTCCCGGCTCCCCGTGCCCCGGTTCCTCTCGGGCACTCCCGGCTCCCCGTGCCCCGTTTCCCCGGAGCGAGGCTGCGGTGATGGGCGAGTGGACCAGCACCCCCGATAGCCCAAACCCCCCGGGGTCGCTGGTGTCTCCGGGCACACGGCGGGGGTGGGAGCGCGCACCGGGCTCGTCCCCAGCCCTGCCCGGCCCCGGTGCCCCGCAGGATGCCCGGGGAGGGTCCCCCCGGAGATGCCAGCCCGGCCTCGTCCAAGGAGCAGGCTCAAGCTTTGGTCACTCGGCAATTCACACACCCACCAAGAGCTTCCCTTTTCTTTCAGGAGGAAGATTTCAGAGTAAAATTTCTATAAAAGAAGGAGTGGTAGCTACGAGTGACACCATTTGTCAGCACAGCTCGATGGTTGTCCCCACTTTCAGGCTCCCAACAAGGGATCCAGGACCTGGAAGAGCAGGGTGGGATGTTCAGAAGAGCACAGAACCCTCCCAGCTCACCCCTCAGTCCAGCAGCCCTGAAGGCCCCAGCATCACCAGCCCCTGCTCCCCACTTCAAGTCATATTTCTAATCCTCCTCAGCCCAGCCTCAGGCCCTGAACAAACATCCCTGCAGATATTTTTAAAGATTTTTGGGAAGCTTTAGCTCCATGCAAGATGTAGAAATGTTAAATACTTTGGCACGTTCTTCCCTCCAGGGTTCACGTTCTTCCTCCTTCAGGCAATAAAACTGCTGTGGGAATCTCTGCAGAGCACAGCTCACCATGTGCAATGGTTTTTTTTATTGTTCTGCTGGTTTGGGGAGAGCTCTGAGGGAGGAGGTGAGTGGGGTGAAACCCTGGCTCCAGTGGAGGCAAGCAAAGGTTCGCCCTTGGCTTCTGCTCAGTTCCTTGCAGGCACTGAGGGATGTCCTTGGGCACCCAGGTGTGGTGACAGCCCCTGGCTGAGGTGCCACCCAGACCCCAGCTCCGTGCCAGGACAGACCTGGAGGGCTGGCAAAGAGCCCAGGGCCCGTGGTGCAGCCCCCCGGCTCCAGCGTGCTGTGCCAGCACTGCCCCTGTTTGTGCCCATGCCACTGTCACCCTGCTGCCAGGGCCACCTCTGACCCTCTGCCCTGGCCCGGGGTGCACGAGCAGCTCAGGGACGGCCCGAAATGTGGGGATTGGGTGGGCTCAGGATAACATCCAGCTCCCAGTGCCCTTCCCTGGCCCCCCAGCAGCCAGAGGTGCTCGTGGCCCCTCGCAGCCCCCAGTCCTTATTCAGGCAAAGCTGCAGCTGCTCCACCACTAAAACCCAAACACACGTGATTCTGAAGCAAAGAATCCTGTGAGAACCAAAGGGTTTTCTGAGTCATCCCCTACGTCTTCCAGCTTTAAATGTTCAGGGATGCCATAGAGCTGGAAACATTTTTATTTTAAAAATACATGCTTTGGGATAATCAAAAGCACAAACAATAAATAAAGCTAAATTTAATTGCATTTGGGTTTACTGGTGGATCTGAAATAGCTGGTTTTCCAATAGCTATCTGGAATCACAACTTTATGGTCCCCAGGACAGAAGAGGTCTGGCAAAATGTCAAGGCCAGGCCACAGCTTTGCAGAGGGAGCTGCAGGAACTCGGGCATGGCTGCAGCCCACAGCCCAACCCTGCAGAGCCAGCAGGTGGGACCTGGCTGCTCCTGCATGGCAACTCCTCTTCATCCTAGAATTGTTTCCCACTCCTCACCTCTTGCACTCAGCCTGCAGGAAGCCTAACTGTGGTAAATCTACTAAAAGCACAGATGAGCAGTGCCATGGCCACATCTTCATGGAAAAGGCAGAGCTGATGGATGCTGGGGGTGTTAAATCAGCCTTGGGAACAAACTAAGGGCACAGTAAATTACAACTTTCCCTTAAATGTGCACGAGTAAATTCTCCAGTCTGGTTTTGAGTTTCTCCACGGCTCAGCAGCTGGTGTGCCCATTTCCAGAAAAATATAGAATCAATATTGTAAAATGTTCTGTGCCAAATGAAGCAAGGCTTTGGAGACAGAACATGGAAATACCAGCAATGCACAGAATTACTTGGTCCCAAACCCATACACAAAATTCCTTGTGTTACTGAGCTCACTGATCAGGGGTAGCAGAAGCCAGTCCAGGTGCAGGTGACAGTGACATTCCTGGGTAATGCTGTGTCACCTACCACATCCCCCACCCTGCACCATCCTCTGGCCATGGGATTTCTTCTTGTTAGCTGAAAAATTAAAAAAAAAAAAAAAAAAAAGCCCCTGAAAACAAAACAAAACACACACACAAAAAACAATCCAAAAACAAACAAACAAAAAAAGAAACAACCAAAAACCTAGTCCTCAGATCGATCACAATTTTTAAATAAACTGGACAAAAGACCTGCAGCCCATGGTCAGTCCCAGAATTTCTGGCCCAGCACACAACGTGGCTGTCAGACTTGTGCCATGCCTGGGGAAGGTTTTGGAAACTGAGTCATCAGAACATTACTGGGAGGGGAAAAGGAGCCAGAGAAATGAAGGAGGGAAAATTAACTTGGATGCTGCAGTGTTGAGTTCTACAGAGCACTCACAGCAGAAAGAGAATTTACACGAGTTCATGCACGTAACAAGATAATTTCTTCTTCTCTCTTCCCCTGGGTTATCTGGGAACACACTAACCTTACTCAGTGCTACAGAACCTCTCACCTCATGTCCCTGAAAGGTTTATGGGATTCAAACCATTTCCTTTGAATCCCCAACTCACTGAAACCCACTGGCCTCTGCTCCCACGGCTTCCAGCCCACAGCAGCACTGGAGCCCCAGTCAGGCTCTTCCACTTTGGGAGCTAAATCCTGGAAAAAGAGCCTGAATTTCCCGGCATTAAGCCAGTCCACATTTCCACCCCCACCACCCTGGCACTGCACATGGGAGCCCTGCAGACACATCCCCGAGGGCTGGGATGCCACCCCCAGCCCTGGGCTGAGCTGGGACACAGCAGCAGTGCTGGGACAAACAGCTCCAAGCCACGGGCACTGGAGCAGCTGTGGATCCTGCTGGTCCTGCCACCCACACAGCCCCACTCAGGCTGGGCACGGGGGGTGCCCGTGGTTCCTACAGGGAATCCCCCCCTGCCCTGCACATCCAGGCCCGGCAAAGGTGGCTCAGGCTGTCCCCAGGAGCCAGCTCAGTGCAGGGCTCCCAAGGACTCTGCTGGGGCTAAAATGTTCTTGCTTGATCCCATTATGGCCTCCCAGCCCATAAAACCAATGGAGCCTGCCCGGACCCAGGGAGTAACAAGTGGGGATAATAAAGCTGAAATATGTATCCATGTGGTTTTTAATAAAGAGGCTTCAGGCCCAAGGTGGTGGGAGACAATACAACAATTTTACTACTTTGGGGGAGGCATCACCACATCTGTGAGTAACTTCAGGCTGTTCATTGCAGTGCCCTGACCTCTCACTCGCCATCAGGAAGGAACAGAAAGCAAAGCAGAGCCAGTGAGACCCGGAGCCCTGGGGCTGGGATTCACACCTGCAGCAGTGACAGTGCACAGCCAGGTGACACGAGTGTCACCTCCTGGGACCTGGGCTATTCACTCCACCTTTGCAGAGCCAGGGGCACAGATCAGCCAGGAAATGCCATGAACAGCCCTGCCTGCAACCCCTGCACACACATCAGCTTCTGTCCATGAAGTGAGGCACTCTCCTATTTGAACAAAATATAAATAGCAAGATCTGAGACTTTGTTAGGTAAAGAGAGGAGCCAGAACAAAAGCAGAATACAGTCAGTTTGAATATACATTCATGTGCAAATTCCACAGCTATTTACACATGTATATGGAGGAAAGTGAATCAAGTCTGGGGCTCATCACTACAACAAAATCTTAGCCAAGTGAGATGAAGGAGGCTGCAGTCCTCAGGATATTGAGTGTGTATGTGTGAGTATCTGTGTCTGGAATGCCCACACAGGTGAGGGCGTTTCCACACAGCCCCCATTTCTGTCGCACTGAATACCTGCAAGGAAACCCCCAGCCCAGGCTCCAGGAATGCTCTGTGAGGTCAAATAATTAACCAGAGCAGTGAGCTTTCACTACAAAAATGAAGCCCAGCTAGATTTATATGAACTTTTCTGCCTCACTGATTACTTCCCATTTGCAGTAATGTGTTTACCTTCTCCTTCCTGAAGCTGGTAATTCGTCCTCTTCTTTATTTCATTCCAGGTGGCTGTTTTGGAGCCAATTTGTCCAAATGATTTTGAATTCAGGCCCTCTGGCTCCTCCAATGCCAGGTGGGACAGAACCATGATGCTTCTTTCTCTGGGCAGCAGATCCTGGTGTTGGGCTTGCCCAGCAGGTAACTGGGATTTATCTTCAACAGCTCTGTGTGAGGTGTTCCAGTTCCAGAATATCTGCTCTTCTCTCAAAACAGACCCTCCTTCAACCAAAATTCTTTATTTTTAACTCCTGCCAGCAAACACAGCAGCCTTGGAGAAGTGGCCTTGAGAGACCCCAACACCTGCAAGTCCCCAGGTCCATCCCAGTGTCCTGAGCCCACACTGCCCAGCCCAGGGCAGAACAAAGCCAGCCTGGAGCACTGACAGCTCCTCACCCATTGTGTGCCCAGCCTGCAGCACTGACAGCTCCTCAGCCACCTGTGACAGCTCACCAGCCAGGTGACAGCTCACCCACCTGTGCCCAGCCAGGTGACAGCTCACCCAGTAACCACGGGGGACAGTCTGGAACAGAGCAGTGCCTGTTCTGAGCACTAACAGGCATCAGCCTGGGCAAATTCCCTTCGCCTTCCAAGGCATTCCTGCCTGGCAAAAACATCCAACAGAATCTCCCTGGTATCTGCAAAGCCAAACAGCACCAGGTGAGCCCCCCATGCCAGCTGCTCCTTTCAGAGGGTGCCCCGTGGCCACCAGGGAGCCCCGTGGCCACCAGGGAGCCCCGTGGCCACCAGGGAGCCTCTGCTCCTGCTTCTCCCCATTCCCAGGATCTCTGCCTTTCTCACGGCTCCGCTGCCGGGCTGGGGGAACAGAACATTTTTACTTTCTGATTATTTTGTTTCCACTTTTGCCCTTCTGCCCCGGCCTGAGGGACTGCTCCGTGACTAAATCCATTTCCTCCTGAATGGGTTCCCTGCCCAAAACCCTTCCCAAAGGTTCCCAATGCCAGCCCAGCCCAGCCCAGCTCAGCACCACCCTGGCTGCCAGTATCAGTCCCCCTGGGAGCTCCTGCTCTATTCCCAATTCTCCAGGGAGCCCCAGTCATTGGGAATCTGCCTCAGATCCACTCTGGGAATTGCTGCAGAGAGGCTGGAGGGTCGCTGGGACTCAGAGCCCTGCACTGCCAAGCCCAGCACAAGGCAGCAGCTGCAGGTGATGTGACAAACATCAGCCACCATCAGCCCAGGGAAGAGGTGCCGGGAGGATGCAGAAACTTTGATTACTCACTCTGAGAACACAATGGTTGGGATTTCCCCCTCGGTGGGGCCGTGGGCCCTGCTGAGCCCCAGCAGGACGTGAACCCTGTGCATCCCCCTGCCAGCACTCCTCTGGCCGTGACCTTGTCCCAGCCTGGCTGCTCACAGCCCCTGACTGCCCCCACTTGCCCTTGACTCAGTGACGGAGGAGCAGAGCTGCCCAGGGGAGCAGGGACAGAACAGCGTGGGGAGGACACTCTGTCTCCTTCCCTGCTGTTTTTTCCCTGATGTTACGCAGTTCCTGTGAATCTGGGGTTGGGGAGATGTGCAGCAAGCATCATTTATGGCACCCGGGGGATCAGCAGCTACTCCTGGCAAAGGCTGGACCTGGCAGCACCCTGGCAACTTGCCTGGGGCCAGAGCTGGCCCTGGGTGTGGCAGGAGACACTGGATCCTGCCCAGCCACCCACTCTGCTGGGCATCAGACATCAAATCCACATTTCCCAGTGTGTCTGCTCCGTGCAGCCTCCCCTGCACCCTGGCCTCTGTCCCACTGTCCCACAGCCCCACTCAGGTTGGCGAGCTCCACAAATGCCACTGCCCCCTCTGGCACCAACCCACTGCCCTAAGGGGGAGGGGAAAGCTCCATCTCAGGCAAACGTCACCAGTTTGGACTTCCAATGGTGATGACAACAATAAGTGATATAAAAACAATTAATCTTCCCAGGCTGTGAGCAAACCAGTCCGAGTGATGCCCGTGTTTAAGGTGGCAGCTGCTCTGTCCCTCCTCCCGCCCCATGGAATTGTCACAGCTCATTTCCAGTGACATGTCAGTACCTGCACACAGCAGCCACGGTCCCCACAGCAGGGCCCTCCCTCTCCACAACTGCAGCTGCTCTGCAGGCACCTGGGGAAAGCCCTTTCTGGTGCTCATTTCCAATATTATCACCATGCACTGGCCAACTGCAACCAATTGCAATGCCTGATGTGAGCTGCTGTGACAAAAAGGCAGCCCTAAAGCAGCCATCAATAATTGCTGTCTTTCAAAAGGTTTGGTTTAATAAAAAAAAGAACCAAGTCAACACAACCAGATTCCTGCTTTGCCTCTGCAGCTCTCCACCTCATGCACTTATGACAGTTTATATCTGCCACAATTTAGCCCGTTCCAAACACAAATACTCCTGGGAACCATGGCTTGAGGAGGATTATTTCTGAATCCCAGCTACAGTCTGAAGTCAAGACACAACAACCCTCAGTCCAGATTTTGTGCCTTCTCTGCCAAGCTCCCACTGACAGGCTCTGACCAAAACTTCAGGGCTCAGCAAAAGCACCTGAAGTATTTTTCATATTTTGCTTACAAGCTTTATTTTTTCAAAGCCTTTCCTGGTGTTCAGGTTTCCTTCATTTTCTTGCACTGCTTTATTACATTACAAAACCATCAGCTCCTAAGGAAGATCAGACTTTTCAATGTAACTACTTGCATGAAAGCTAGAATACTTCATGCCCACCAGCCTTCTGATTTCTTCCCAGTTTCAGGACTTCAAAGTGAAAAAATGACACACAATACTGAGTAAGTTTACACAGACATATATAAAAAAGCCTATTAGTGTAGGACAGCATGTCCCCCCATCCCTGTCCCTCCCTCCCCTGGCTGTGCCATGGAACTGGGGCACCAGTACCTGCCCAGCCCAACAGAACTGTCCTGCAGCAGCTTCCAGGAGGGCACACGAGGCTTCCAGGGGGTGCAGGCAGGAGCAGTGGCAGCACACAGACCAGGGGCTGCACCAGCAAGGGAACTCGGGCACAGGAGGCAGGCCAGGCTCCTGCAGGGCTCTGGCACTCTGTGCCCAGCCTCACCATCAGTGGTGGGGGCAAACCCACCAGCCCGGCCACTGAGGCAGCAGGAATGGCAGTGATGTGGAAATGGAGCATTGTACTCAGTACCCACGTACTGGGGGAGTGGCAGGAGGCAGGAGGGGTTTCCCAGAGGGCAGCATTAGCTCCTCTTGCGTTTGCCCTGGGGCATCACTCCATCCTCCTCCTCCTCCTCCTTCGCGGGGATTCGCCGCCGCAGCTTCCTCTTGTTCCCTGCCAGAGCCACGGAGCTGCTGCTGGGAGAGACACAGCAAGGGTTAGAGGGGTTTGTA